CTATCGAACTGGTGAAGGTCAGGTTTTCGTGTTCTATGGATTTACAACCGTTACTCCAGCCAAATACATAATTATACAGCTTTTAGTCAAAACGAGTAAGGTGATTGGATTATTGGGGGACTAAAAATTCGTCTTTGAAACAGTTAACAGTGACGAATAACCGTCATTTAGCCCAAGTGCTTCGTACTATACCACGTATGGGGATTGACGATGGTCATCACGCTGAACGATTCCATTCGCCTGGTCACAAAGCCAATAAAACAGTGCAAATCAACAGTTGTGAAAACATACAATCGTATCACCTTGAATTGGAGGGGGCTAAACAAAACCCGAGAACATCACAAACGAGAGATTCAGCTGGGTTCCAGATGAGTCTCTCGAAAAACCAAATTAGTTTGCGAATGGGTATATATCCGCTAATTTCGTGCAATTTGGTTTCAAGTAGAACATAAGGTTGACGGAAACCCGGGGACTGCGCCTACCTGATGAGCCCGAAATAGGGCGAAACCGGTGGTGGGCTGTCGACGAGTTTGCAGCAACCTAATGCGTAGTACGTTACAAAAATAAAACCTGTTGTATGTTGATACCATGAGGAGACCCATAAAATGACCAATCGTGACTTCGTCGCGTAAGAGGAATCAATGTAAACTGGAAGCTGTGCACTGGTGATTCCTTCTTATCGGGACTCATCAGCGGTATGTATCACACGAATATCTGTAAAGATTCGAATTCTCAACTTGCCTCAGAGCTGAATACCATGCAGTTCGGTTACAAGTGGACTGCTAGCAGTAACAGAAGAAAATCTCAACGGCAATTTCCAAATATCGTCATGCTATCACCAAACAAAACACATCCAGAAAGAAGAATAGTTCACAAATTGCGTGATGCTTTAGACGGCAGGTGTCCACATGATGAGAATAGTGTGAAAGATGAGCGCTGTCTTATATCTTGTCTAAGTGAGAGTGTGACACACTACTGATTATCCGCTTGTGTCCGAAAGGCAGAGTATTCGGCTGCTAACTAGAGAGTCGATGGTTGGAATCAAAATCGGAATTCGTGGGATTGACATTGCTGACATCTCTCAAAAATAAATGAAACAATTGTACAGGACGAAAGCTCGGTTAAAAATCTTTTCCCAACACAATTAACTCGCAGTCTTTGCCCTGTGAGTTTACTGTTTACCGGCTTACCAGAAATTTTTGACATTAAACTGACAAGAAACAGGTTATTAGCAACTTCTCAGCTGTTAAGTTGAAACTATCACAACAGGTAAGTAACCCTAAAGGACAGTTTTCCAAGAGGTCGGAGCTGTTCAAAGGAGGACTACTGTTCCAGGACCGCTTTTGAATGTAGAAAGAGTTTGAGCTAAGCCTAACCAATGAAGTGTTCTCCATACTTTTAATCCCCAACAAAACGATCGTTCGAAATATTTTGTTTAATATACCAATTTTTAGAAAAGACAAATTCCTCCACAAGAATCTACATAGGACATTCTTTATAAACGGTTTGTTTTGGACATATTTATACCCGGGAGGCGAGATGCCACCATACTGTTTCGACCTTTGGTATGATGTAATAAAAGGCATCTTTTCACGAGAGAATTTAAGTCTATATCAAGTGATTTGCTCGAATTCGACATTCTCGGTTCATCAGGATTAACAATGGTCTGAAATGGGGTCATTCTATTATTGAAAAAGAACAAGGTGTTGTGTATTTCCGTTTCGATAAAAAATGTTGAAACCAACCAAAGTAAAAAGTACAAAATTTTAGATTAAAGTGCCTTCTACTCGCCTCTCTTTCGATTCAAGGCAAACTCAGCAATAGGTTGGCATCAGCTTCACAGAAATTCAGATTTGGCTATTCGGAAAAATACAATAACACTAGTTTCGTTTGAACAGTCTTCCTTTCCACCTCCCTCCCGATATTGTATACCCGGTGAAGCCGCACCAGTATCGCGGTGCCTGGACTAAAGGACTGTTTAAATAAGAAGGATGCGATGCGCAATAACAGTATTTTATTGGAATAAAGAATATTCTGCTGGTTATTTTTTGCTTCACACGGAATCCTTCAAATTGTTTTTGTTCGCCATTTTCCTTAATATTATCCGCATACTTCCAGGCCTCAGTGGATAAGGTCATGGTGACCCAAGTTCGACCCTCCTCTTAGTCCGTTTAATCGTCAGCTAGAAGGTGAAAACGTTAGAAAATATTTTACCACTTAGATTTAAAGTGCTGACTGTACTGAAATAAATCTTTGCTGCAAAAACAGGTTCTCTCTAAGTATTCTTCGACACCCATATTTGGCGTTTCTTCACGCGTAAATGCCGTCGAAGTGATTATCAGAATAACATGATATGATATCCATGAAGTTTCTGAAAACGCTTCGAAATCCCACCATCGGTTCTACCCGTCTCGTGAATCAGGTGGAATCTCCAGGTCTCCGTCAAGCTTATCTTCAGCTTGAAATTTCCACTTTCCTATTTATACTTGGGGTGTACGTGGTGAGGCGGCCATTTACATTGCCTGTCGGCAGCTCCTGGCCAAACGGTTCAATCTTTAGCCATTGTTCCGAGTTCGAATCTCCCTAGAAATTCTTGAGATGCACATTGCTGATCGTTTCTTTTATAAGAAAAAAATAACTGTACAGTGCTTCTAGACTTTTAACATGAACTAAATTCGTTTGTGCGACGAAGTGAAGAGTGAAATTCACAAATCCTGTAATGCTGTCGGCTAGAACCAACGGATGATGGAAATCCGCCGAATACATGCACTTTGATGAGCCTCAAAAGGTAAGAATCGATCACAGACCACTCAGTGATCTTTGGGTCAAATTGTAACTAGTGTTTTTTTCAGGAGAGTATACTGAGATATCTCGACAGTGCTGCTAACTGAAAAATGAGTTAAACTGTGTGCCTATTAACACTAATGTAAGCTGAAACTGAATCTAGTTTGGCAATTGCAGGGATCTTTGTTTGTTCATGATCACTGAAGCCTAGTAAAATGACATACTTGGTCCACTGTCCTCATGGTCGAACCAGTGTATCCACATTTGTAGGCCGCCAAACAAAATATGATAGTCATGCAGTCATCGGAAAACAATGCAATCATTGAGATAGTTACAAAAACAAGTGCATCAGAACCAATGTGTGCGTTTACTCTGGTTTTGAATCCCTCACTTATAACCCGGATGTTCTCTCGGGTCTCTAAGGGAATTGCAAACACTACTACACAATAACTAGTAATATCTGCCAAACTGGTGGACTCAGGTTTAATACGATTGTGAAAGTTGTGAACTTCAGTTCAATTCCATCAGGCCCTAAATTGCGTCAGAATAGACTCAGATATACTTCAAATTAGTAACCTTCTACTTTGATAGTCATAGAGTACTACGTGCGATAAATATATCATGAGCTATCACGACTACTTCTGAGCTATACGACTAACTTCATTGGGCTGGAGATAACCGCAAGTATATTCTAAGGAATCATTCTTTTTATGCATCGTTCCTGGCATGGTATAATTCCATGACTATTGCAAGTACTATGTTTCTGATCTTTTATCGGGGAATTGCACAAGTAGGATGCACTGTTCAGTCGTCTATGGAAATTCGGATGGAATAATTGACCATATGGTTGATTGGGGGAGTAAACTGATTCGTCGCATCTTTCACAAAGGAAGCTATCTTTTTTACTGACCGAGTTAGATCGAATTCACTGCTAAAAAGCGATCCACCACCGGATCCTCTTTGCGCGAGCTTTATCACATAGCATCGACATGGCCAATTCCTTTGGGCGTCAACCCCAGCATTCTCAATGCACACTGCTGCGAAAACACCAATCAGACCCGCCTGTGACTGATCTGCGTTTGCTGAAGGCCTTGCACCCGAATGTACTATTGTTTTTGACAACTGTGGTTGCATGTGCGTCTCCCATGACTGAGGAGCGGATTCAGTAAAACAAATGACAAAACCATGACCATCGCTGACCAGCGATGATGGGCAGCGAGTTTTTGACCATGATTCTTTTTTCCGTGGGTGGTTACAATTGACTGGCTTCTGATGAGAGTGAACTCTGAACAAAGGTCAGTATACAGCATATTTGTGATTTGAATGAACGGAGGTAGAGAAGCGAAGGACAATGGGTATCGCATGTCCTGTTGCTATTGCTGTATGGAAAACTCCTAGCATTCGTGAAATACAACGCCACCTGTCGTGATGATCACTTCACACAAAGAGACCTGAGGACGTTGGTTGGTCTACAATATGAACAAAGACTTCAAACTGGAAATCACTCCCTGAAATTTCCGTAGATAGGATTACGAAAGAACATACTTAGGCTGAAAAGGATGAGCCCTAGATCTTAGAGTGAAAAACACTGGTGGCTTGTTGACCTGGCAATCTCCAAAGAGAGAATAATTGCGGATCTTGTATAATGTGAGCCAACCACAACTACAGGTTCTACCGCAAACTGTGAGTAGATGCAAGCCACATCACTTTGTATTGCCCAGTGTACAAGTAATTCTCATGGACGATATCACACAACAAACCATGTATATTATCATAAATTTTACTAAATGTTGGGCCTTGAACAGCGAATAATTGGAACCAATGCGCTTGCCACTCACTGCCAAACTTTCTAGCTCCAACGAAACTCATTTGTGAAAGCTCCCTGCAGTCACTTTTCATGCGGTAACAAGTCTTGTTTTGCACTTAATCTGCTGACTTAATAAATGGATTTGTAAATGTGATTTCACCTCAACCTAGAGGTACGGAGATCCGCACTGACAACAGAACACTCATTCGTATTTTCAAACCAAGTTGAGCACTGTGAAACTGTGACGAGGTATTTTCATAGATGTCTGATAGGCACACAGGTTTCATCGACCACCTGTGATTGTAGGGGTTACACTGTACCTGCACCTTTTGGAAAGGTCATCATAAATGAACTATTTTGTGGAGACTTGTAAATCCTGCACAGATAGTGTGGGGGGAAACCTAATCACCTCTATTTGCAAGGATGTAAGGTCCAACTTGGTCGCCAAGTAGTTCACGAGCTTGTACATTGAATAATAAGCTCACAGAAATAATCGATTATTTGGCTCTTCCTGCGAACAATACGGCCCGTGCGGATCCCTGTAAAGTAAACCTCATTTTGAATTCATCTTAGTGCAAGTGAGCTCCCAAGAATTTCGTCCGTGGCATTTACTTGATGAAGTAGCCTTCACACATGGTATTCTCACTGCTGTGTATAAAAGAATAGAGAAGAAAATCCACATCGTAAGAGGTTTTCTTTACTTCGGAGAGGGCAATCGCACTAGTATCCGTAAGAGTTCATACGAGGCGGTATTTTGCATCAGTGGTTATGCAGTTTTGTGTTTCCTCCAGATAAAAGAGGTTTTCGTCAGGATAAAAAATAGCAAAGCATGTTCAAGCTGGAAATAGGTACTGGTGGATAAAAAAACAATATGGATGAATTATTCCCACTTGTGTAGCGGAAAAATTTGTCCTGCTAGAGATAGCGACCTAGACGAAGGACACTCTTGTTCCAGTATGAATTGGGCGGAACCAGACAGGTACCGTTTATAATACAGTGTTTTTTTATAGACAATCGTGTGCTCATAATGATTAAAACTCTATTACGCACGATTGTTTAGCTTTCCTATTTCGATTAGAGCTGACACGAATATGATGTGACATTGGGGCTCTTCACATTCGCCAAACCCTTGTTCAAAACCTGACCAATTTTCCATGGTTTGAAATCATTAGGGCATGGACGCTGAGCTACCGAAGGGGAAAAAAAGGATTAAAGAATAAGCTGAAATGCAGTCAGGATGAGAATTTTTAGCAAGCTTCAGAGCTAGGTAAGGTCTTCCCAATTCGAACTTTTTTCGCCTGTTCAATTGTGTACTGAATAGCAGGTCGAATTTGAATATGATCGTTTGACACTGGTAGGCTTTTGATGCCTTTTTCGGGGACCACTAAGGTTGTGATATTACCATCTTACACAGGTTTAAACGGAGTATGTGGTAAAAGTAAGGAGTCATTGGAACTACAGACCCTCACGTCAGAAGTATTTTTTTACTGAATTTTCATTGTGAGTGATGTATTTTTGAACAGCACCGATAACACAACTCCTAGTAATGATTTCGATCTGATTACCTTTGTAGAGCTTTTCGGTTATAGCCACTCCCTTAATAATTGTTCCCGAATCAGATCACCAAATCCATCCATCACTAGTAGCCCTTATTCAGAAGACTGCCTTACTTAGTAAGTGACAGCAGTTTGTCGACGAACAAGGTCGACCGAATGTAATGCGGAGAAATGCTGAATGATTCCGTGGGAAATAGCAATTTTGTTGACATTCACAGTCTACCAATAACAGTTAACCAATCATTTGACAACTTTTCGGATCTTCAGCTGCTAACGCAAAACAAATTCTGATTTCCTCAAGCTATGAACCTCACTGAATTGAATGAGAGCTTATCCTTCCACTTTCCACAATTGCCCCCGTCGTCCTGAATTTTAAAAGCTTATCCAAGGAAGCCAAATGCTCCTAAAATATATGGGCATCAGTAAACCTTAGGCTTGGCATATTAGTTCAAGTTGTGACCAACACAGGAAACAGGCGAACATTGAAAAGTGTGTTAACAGTCCATGAGTCCATGTGAGTTATGGGAAGTGCTGGACGGTACCAATTATTGGCCACGTGAAATAGGATACCCAGTGAGTTTGATTATGCGTCAACTAAGAGAGATATTGGCTCCAGTATCTAGACCCATTAAGGGATGGATTGTCACAGCAGTCATTCCATATAAAACAGGAACATCGGAGGTTATTCGAAGATTTCGAGTAGCTTCCCAGAAGGGAAAAACGCTACGCAAAGTTTGGTGCAATTGGAAGATCCCTTGCTGGTTGAAAGGACTAGGGATTTGTGTATAAAATTAACTGCAGCGATTGCGCCAAGGTTTACATAGGACTAATTGCCGCGAAGTTGCAGAACGGAATTGGTGAGCATAGAAGAAGAATAAACAAACCACCATGGAATGCAGAATAATACCAAACGCTGGTCAGATACTTAGAGATGGCGGTACATGCCTTAGACACGGGACATAGAATAGATCTGGTGAACCTGGAGGTTTTAAGACGGGAACTGTAATTCACAATACATCGGCTGATAGCCGAGGCGGTGGAAATTACTAAGCATCACAGTGTGAATAGAATCGAGGGTGTGGAACTGGCGAGCGTATGGAAAGCAGTCATAGATAAGCCGAGTTGACAAGTGACCGTGTGGTTGTCAATCCACGTAGAATCATTAGCAAAAACTGGGGGCAACGGGTGGAAATCCCAACCCGACCAAGGGTCACTACATCCCCCTTAAACAACTATCTTAGCATTAGCTCATCCACAGACGGACAAAAAGTTAAAACGACTTTCAAGAGGGATCATCAAGTGAACCTAACCAGAAGAACTAGACCCTAGACTGGACCCAAACACATGTAGGTTTCCCCACCGTCCCAACACTTTTTCAACCACTCTAACACACTAAAATCCCTCAGCCGACACCCAACAGAGATTCAGCTTTACTCCGCTTATGATTGGTTCTCCTTCCGCCTTAGATCTCGACATACCTCGGAACCTAGTCACTTGGCCTGACGAAGCTTTTGTATCAAAAGCGAAACGTTACCCAGCAATAAATCTACCGATTATTACCAAACGGTTTCGAAAACAAAGGCACTGTTTTTACTTTTTGCTGTCCTCATTTGAATATATAGCTTCAGTGAATTCATAGCTTCAGTCGATTCTCGAGATCACTTACGACCTGTCCCAGTGTGTGTTTTAATCTGAGTCTCTATCCGTTTGTGCCCGCTACGCAAATTGGTCACACAGCCAAAAAGTATCACCATCATCATCATCAACAACAACAAAGCAATATCATCATTCCTATTTACATCATCGATGTCATCATCAGCATCAGCATCGTTCAACAACAAAAGTAATAATGACAACATCGTGATCCCCATCGCTGTCATCAACATCATCATCAACATCTTCACCTTCACAAACAGCAGCTAAGGTAACTTTAGACACGATCTTGCTTTGAGAAAACCTACTCTGCAAGGAAGGTGTGCATCTACACGCTTTAGTTTCACATAACATAAGGATGTTCCACAGCGATGCTCTGCCAAGGCAGTTATTCCCATACAATTGTAGGATTTGGTTGATCCCGTCGAATACGCCTTCATTTCACAGCGGCATTCTGGTACAAAGAATTGAGACAGGTTGTGCCCAAGCCAAAAATTACTGTGCTCAGTTCAAGAAACAGAAATTTTGGTTTTTGCATTTGCGCCTTTATACACCTGAACGTAAAACCCTCTGGAGTTGTCCAGCCTATCTTGGGTGTCAGTCTTCAACCTATCTGAACCAGTGTGGCTGTAGGTGAGCTTTACCTTGTTAATCTATAGTACATGATATTCAGCCAAACGCCACGGACATAGTTTATATTGCTACGGAAACCATGAGCATCAGAAGCGGCACGAAAGCTGTTGCGCACACCAGCTGAACAAGATTATCATCTATCCTGAAAACCGATGCAGCCCTATACGGACTGGGAACTCACATACCTTGCTAATTTTTTGTACTTCACCGCAAACGTATCACTCCCCTATTCCAGATCGTCTCCATCCTGTCCATGACGGGTGCAATTCGCCCTAATATACCGGCGCAATCGAGTGAATGTCACCTCTAATCTATTAACGGTTTTACTCTTGTTCAGCACCACCTGAAGTCCGAAGAGGAATTTGAACACAAGAATTGCGACAACAAGAGACAGTACTATGTTCACTATGCATATGAATGAAGACTTTGAGCTCGTTGAGGTTTCAAAGTCACTGAAATTTTTTGGCGACCTTATGGGTACTCTGCTTTGTCCCAAACATCGTCCAACTAAAATGGGAAGCGAACTTTGTTGAAACACGTTCACTTGAGGAACATTATAAACGAGAGGTTTAATTGGGATTTTGCCGTCTTTTTTCATAACACTATTTGATATTGCTAGTGGTTTTATTTCATCTTTTACGTTTGCTCTTAGCTCTGGGAGCTTTGCTTGTTTTACAGTTACGCTGTTCGCCAACTCTACGAAAACTCTTCGCAGGGCATTTGAATTGAGTTCAAGTGTGCGTCATTTCTTTCAAACCGGATGCTCACTCACTCCTTCATTCAGTAAACAGGAAAAATTTTATAGATGATGTAGCATGTTTTTGTATTCATTTGATCCCGTTTAGTTTGCTCTATACCCATCTGCAGAATCAGTGTCACACATTCTGCTAGTGAAGTGCTACGCACCGCGGCACTAGATTAACCCGAACAAAATTAGAACAGTGAATTCTAACCTGGTATTCGTAGGCCGTTTTGTGGGTAACTATGAAGCGCTTCGTATACGCCGTCATGAATTCTTCCAGTCAAATCTATTTTTGTGGGAAACAATCAATAAAAGTGGAGAACACTTACATTGATAGATCATCTAATAAGTGGAACAAAAATCGAACATTCAGCGGATGCCAGATTAACTGTCTCTGAGACTCAAGCCTTTCCTTCCTGCGCCTACTAGCCTGAATGTCCCAATCAGCATCTACTAAGAACCAAAACCTTCCCGAAAAACGACTAAACTTATTGAAACATGTATCGCTGGACACTTTCTTGCAAGTTGAAGACCTCTCTAAAGAGGTTGCTGAAAATTCTTCGACAGCCCACGAGCGGTTTTGCCCTTCTTGGGGCTCATCAGGTAGGCGCAGTCCCCGAGTTTCCGTCACTCTTATGTTCTGCTTGAAAGCAAAATGCACAAACTTGGCGAAATACACTCATTTGCAAACAAATTTGGTTATTGGAATGTTAATTCTCTAATTCTAGTTTGAGCGTTGGTGAGCTGGTTGTCTGAGCAAATAGTCTCAAATCAACTTCGATCTTTACACCCACGTGGGAAGTAATTTGAAGACAATGGGGGAAATCGGTCTTATATAAGGCTACGAGATTTTTTCACAAAATGCAGATTAGCCTTCGTGAAGAGAAACTTTTCTAACTGAATTGTATAGGATTAGACTCATGTCACACTATTCCAATGCGAACTTCAACCATTTATAGCAGAATAGAATTACCCTTAGCTGTCAAAACTCAACGTCGGTGATACAGTCCCAATCTCACTACTTGCAAAACTTAGGAAAGGCAGAACAAGTTGCTTAATCCTCATACACCATGGTGGTGGTGAGGTGGGAGACATTCCAAAAGGTACCCGTGAAGACGTCCATTGTAATGATCTATTTTGTACAGCCAGTAAGGCAAGAGTTAGTCCCTATCGCATGAAAGTAGAAATAAAGTCAGGCTACCCCGGGCATGACAGAAGCGCTAGACTTGAATACTACACCACCTTTCAGTGGCTGTCCAACCTTTGGACAACTCCGCGCATTAGGGTTCCTGCAGGAAAATATAGTTCTCTTCTCAACAGTGTGCGGAATAAACTTAGTCGAAGAAAATCGCCTGTGTATGCTGAAAATGCTACGGAGATATAAGCGAACGGTGGCACTACAAAGAAATGTAGTCCGTTGGCATTGATGGCTAACTGGTAATCGAAAAACAAGCTAGGGTTCTTTTGGACGGAGAAGCAACAGGGTTGCGAATTATTCGGAAGTGTAGGTAGGGGTCACTAACCGGTTAGTTTTGACGAAAAGGGAAGGACTACAAACATTTTCAATCACCTATTTAGAGGGACAAAAACAAGGTAGTGAGCT